GCTCCTCTCGAAGGGGGAGGGCAGGAAAAAAACAGACAGTGCAAGGGGAGGAGAAGAGGATCAAAGGGAGGGAGATAGAAGAGGGGGCGCAGTAGCAGTAGAAGAAGGGCGGATAAGGCGGATCAGTAGGAGTAGGAGTAGGAGTAGAAGGAGGAGGAGGAGGAGAGGAGGAGGAAGAGAAGGAGGGGTCACAAAAGGGTACGGCAGAGGATGCAAAGAGGGAGGGGACAGGAAGGGCGGAGGGGGGGAGGAGGAGGAGGAGGAGGAGGAGGAGGAGGAGGAGGAGGAGGAGGAGGAGGAGAAGAGGAGGAGGAGGAGGAGGCGGAGGCGGAGGAGGAAGGAGAGAGGAAGAGGAGGAGGAGGAGAAGGAGGAGGAGGAGACGAGGAGAACGGAGGAGGTGAAAGAGAGGAAGGAGGAGGAGGAGGAGGATGAAACGTGTCGACGGCAACAGGGAAGGATCAGCAGGGACGGTGGTGCCTGCCTGCACTCGTCCGCCCCGCCCCCGACCGAGTCCCGGGGCGAGCCGCCACCCTGGGCGGGCGTCCTTCTGCGTCCCGTGCAGGTCGGAGTGCTTCTCGGTGAGCGCCTGCTCCTCCTCCTCCTCCTCCTCCTCTCCTCCTCCTCCCTCCCCCATCCTCCATCCTCCATCCTCTTCCTCCTCCTCCTCTCCTCCTCCTCCTCCTCCTCCTCCTCTTCATCGTCTCCTCCTCCTCCTCCTCCTCCTCGTCCTCCTCCTCCTCCTCCTCCCCTTCCTTCTTCCTCCTCCCTCCTCCTTCCTCCTCCTCCTCCTGTTTCTACCTCCTCCCTCCTCCCTCCTCGTATCTCCCTCCTCGCTCCTCCCTCCTCCCTCTTCCCTTCTCCCTCCCTTCCTTCTTCCCTCCTAGGGCCCAGGTCGAGCGGTGCCAGGACGAGGATACATGCGTTCCAGATCGCTCCAGAACGCTCTCAGATCCTCCCAGAACGCTCCGAGGAGGAGGAGGAGGAGGGGGAGGGAGAGGAGGAGGAAGAAGAAAGGAAGAGGACGGGGATGAATAATCCATTGGGGATACATCAAGAGTCCCTGAGATCCAGCGGCTCCGGAGGTCTCGGGCGCCGCGGCTTTCTCGGAGCGTTCCGGGAAGCTTTGAGAGCGTTTTGGGGCGCAGTGGGACGGATTGATCCTCGTCCTGGCACCGCAGGACTTGGGCCCGAGGAGGGAAGAAGGCAATGAGGGAGGATGGAGGAACGAGGGGGGAGAAGGTAGGTGCGAGGAGCGAGGAATGAGGAACCATGAGGGATGGACGGGGACGGAGGAACGAAGAGGAAGGAGGACCGCGAGGAGGGAGGCAGGAGGGAGGAGGCAGGATGGAGGAGGAGGAGGAGGAGGAGGAGGAGGAGGAGGAGGAGGAGGAGGGGGGAGGGGGGAGGGGGAGGAAGGAGGGAGGCGGGAGGAGAGGAGGGAGGAGGGAGGACGGAAGGAAAAGGAGAGGAGGAGGAGGAAGAGGAGGAAGGGAATAGGAGGAGGAGGAGGAGGAGGGGAGGAGGAGGAGGAAGAAGCGGAGGAGGAGGAGGAGGAGGAGGAGGAGGAGGGGGAAGAGGAGGAGGAGGAGGAGGGGGAGGAGGAAGAGGAGGAGGAGGAGGACGGAGGAGGAGGAGGAGAAGAAGGAGAAGAGGAGGAGGAGGAGAAGGAGTATGAGGAGGAGGTGGAGGAGGAAGACAATGATGATGTTGATGATGAGGATGATGGGGATGCTGAGGATGATGATGATGAGGAGGAGGGTAGAGAAGAGGATAAGGAGGAGAGGGAGGAGTAGAAGGTGGAGGAGGAGGAGGAGGGTCACTGACCAAGCTGCCAGGACAGCGAGCGGGCCGCCTTTGGACAGTCCCTGAGCCAACTGGGGATTGTCAAGGGGGTGCGCCCGCTACCTGGGGAAACCCCAATTCGCTGCCTGTTGTTGTCGGTTGCCAACGACGGCGAAGCCTGGCTAGCAACCCACGATGCAACGCACTGGATGGAACAACATACGATTTACATTGCTGGGGCCTACCTCACGAATACTGCCGCATGCTGCCGAGGCTTTTATCCCACGTAGTGGGATCATTCGCCTGGTGTGCGTGCTGTGCTGGAGCCCGCGCCTGCGAACCTCCTCGTCTGCGAGCGCGCAGATGCAGCCTCAACTGAAGACGACCCGGGCGAGGTCCCCACCTGGAGACGAACAAGAAAAGTGAGTTCCAGTGATGCCGGCCCTAGCCTCAACGCGTGCGGCTCTGCGGGTGCCAGGAATCCTGCTGTGAATGTTGAGTCGGGCTGGCCGAAAGGACCGCGAGCTAGTTGGGTATGCTGTGCATAGCCTTAGCCCGCAGTCCTGGCAGAATTCCCAAGCGCCTAGAGAGGGGGAGTGAAGAGGCAGTGGAGAAGGCCAGCTGGGGCTTGGGCGGAGGAACGGGCCAAGCAAGGACGGGGGGAGCAGACGGAGGGAGGACGAGGAGCCAGTCCTGCAGTGCTTAATTATGCTTAGCACCCCGTCCCCCGCTGAAGGACCTTGGTCCTGGTTAGCGCCAGTCGTGCAGCAATCCTGGCTAACGCCATTCGCGCGGGCGCCTGCCGGATTAGGCCTTTGAGGTCGGCGTGGCAAGAAGATGAGGCTTGGGGTGGCTCTGCCCCGCCCCGGCACATGCTGCCGGAGAGAATTGGCAGTAGCAAGGCGGAGCGAATGAAGCTAAACCGAGGCGAAACGAAGAACGGGCCCCAACTGAAGGCCGCGCCCGCGACCCTGGGCATCCTATCGCCTCTAAGGGGTAGGAGGAGGAGGAGGAGGAGGAGGAGGAAAAGGAAGAGGAGGGAGGAGGGAGGAACGAGTGAGGAGGGAGGAAGGAAGGACGATGAGGGATGAGGGAGGAGGGGGGAGGAGGAGGAGGGGAGGGAGGAGGGCGCAGGGAGGAGAGAGGAGAAGGGAGAGAGGAACGAGGAGGAGGAGGAGAGAGGGAGGAACGAGGGAGGAGAGAGGACGGAGGAGGGGAGGGAGGGAGGGAGGGAGGGCGGAGGGAGGGAAGGAGGGAGGGAGGGAGGAACGGAGGGAGGGGGGAGGGAGGAAGGAGGGAGGAGGAGGAGGAGGAGGAGGAGCAGGAGGACAAGGAGGAAAAGGAGGAGGAGGACGAGGAGGAAAAGGAGGAGAAGAAGGAGGGAAAAGGAGGAGGAAAAGGAGGGGAGGGAGGAGGAGGAGGAGGAGGAGGAGGAGGAGGAGCAGGAGGAGGAGGAGCGAGGAGGAGGAGGAGGAGGAGGAGGAGGAGGAGGAGGAGCGCGGAGGAGGAGGAGGAGGAGGAGAAGGAGGAGGAGGAGGAGGTGGAGGAGGAGGAGGAGGAGGAGGAGGAGGGAGGAAGGGGTGGAGGAGGACGAGGAAGAGGAGGAGGATGATGAGGAAGAGGAAGAGGACGAGGAGGAGCCCCGTCCGACCTGCTTCTGGTCTTGCCTCTTCGCGGTCTTGTGCTCGACGTCCTGGCCGGGTCACAGAAGGAGGGGAAAGGGAGGAGGAGAGAGGGAGAGAACACGAACCCGCTCTCCCTTTTTGTTCCTCCGTCCCCTCCTCATACTGTTCCTTCTCCCGGTCCTCTTCTTAATTTTCCTGGTCCTCCTTTATCCCTCTCCTCCGCCTCCCCCTTCTCCTTATATTCCTTCTCCTCCATCCCCTTGTTTGTCCTGCTCCTCTCGTGTCTTCACCATCCCTCCTCCTCCTCCTCCTCCTCCTCCTCCTTCTCCCCCTTTTCCTCCTCTTGTCCCTCCTTTTCGCCCCCCTTTCCCGCCTCCTCCTCATCCTCCTTGGAGGAGGAGGAGGAGGAGCAGGAGGAGGAGCGCGGAGGAGGAAAAGGAGGAGGAGGAGGAGCGCGGAGCGGGCTTTTCTCGCCTTGAGCCACAGTATGTTTACGATTCCGTGGCTATAAAAAGTAGCAGCTAGGGCACTCTGCCCTATCCGGCGGTGGCGACGTAGGAAGCCTCAAGAGATGTCTGAAGTCGTACCAGGGGCCTACTATTCTCACTCTGATTCTGTGCTTCTACGACTGATCGGCCCGGCCCCCTCTAGGCCTGGATGTTCACCAGGTCGCTCTCCGTGAACTCGTTCCTGGAGGCGATCTCCTTGACAGTAATCACGTTCTCGATGCCGTTCTTCATTTTGAGTAGTCCTCGATGTCGTATCTCTCCTGATAATAAATAATCCTGCATCTGCGGAAACTGCCCTGGCTTTGTGAGGCTGTCCATGACCATGACTTCGGTCGGCCAGTGGTAGAATCTCCGCAGTCGTCCAGATAGTCTGTCCTCTCTGAGACTGAGGATGCTGAGACGCTGTGTCTTGTCAACTGGAATTCCTTTCATGCCCGTCACGAGCTGGTAGAGGTCGTAGCAGTCGGTGACGATGTAGATCGGGATGATCGAGTGCCCTTCATCCTGCATTAGCATTAGATTCTTGAGGGCACCTCCGGCAGTCTTCTCTAATGTCGGTCTGGCAATCAACTCGGTGAACCTCAGTGCCGTGAACTGTGCTGCTTGTGAACCCCCGACTGCTGCCACCGTCTCTGCATGACTTGTCGAATCTGATACTCGCTTGGATTTCCTGCTCTGACCTATCAGTGGATGAGCTGCACCAAAGACATTGTCGTATGAGGTCTTTGATACAATGCCATGACGATTGAACTCAACTTCACGATCTTCCATCAAGAAGAGCCCCTGAGCTTCATGTGCATACGACGTCGTCTTGGTGGCATGAGCTGCATCATTGATACTTACCAAGCGGAATGGTCCATTCATCTTGCGATAGTACAGACCTGCTCGTTCTCGATTCTTCTTAGCTCTCTCTAGTACACTCTTCAACTGCTTGAAGTCTCCAATTGTTGGGGCCGTCTGCTTCGTCTGCATCTGTGTCGTGGCCGCGCTCAGATCCCAACGTGTTTGAAGAAGATGAAGTAGTTGACAGCATAGCGATCTATATTGATGATGCTCACTGGCCGTACATGGTGAGCCGTCATCCTTACTTCGTTCCTTGTCCAACTGTGGTGCTTCTATCGTGTCCAGGTAGGCGTCCTGACTCAGAAAGATAGTGCCATCTGGTAGTCGATGATATTCGATGCCAAGATGAGTGAAGGGCATGGTCTTCCTCGTGATCTTGCCGAACTTCTTCTCCAGTAAATCATGTGCCCAATTCAGCCATGACTGCCTGCCTGTTGGGAAGAGATCATCCACATGTACTGTAGTCGCTAGCGTGAGCTCCTCCGTCTTGTCGTCGTGCCACACAAAGCAGTTCTCGTCCAGTAGTGCTCGCTTGCCCGCCATCTTGTCCTTGATGTGTAGCGTCAGCGCTGCCTGCCATAGCAGTGGAGCATCAATGAGTCCAGGGACTGGTTTCACACATTCAAGTACATATAGATGTTGTTGATCATCTGGAATCTTGGCGAACATCTCCGACAGCTGCCTGAGGTGGCGCCATACGTTCGCTGGGGGAGCTATGTAGACCTCGCGCTTCTCTCGTACATCTAGTCCAAGCTCACGAGATCGTTCGGATAATTCACTGAACCTCAAGCCCTGCATGAAGGCTGATGAAATGTCCCAGCTTTCTGTCACAAAGCCTGGTTCACATTGACTTATTGATACCATCATTCTTTGCGATACTCTTGCTGCCGTCGAAGAGTGTCTGTCCACAGCCCATTTCTGATTGTCTAAGAAACCTCGTCCACAGAGTCTGCAGCGCACGACCCATTTCTCCTTCCACATCCATCGTCGGACCCAAGTAGCGTCGATGAAGTTGGCGTTGTTGCACTCGGTCTTCAACTTGGGCCTGAAGCAGTCGTGCTTGACGTAGTTCTTGATCTCATTGTGGTCGGATTCTTCTATCTGGGGCCAGAGACTCTCGAACTCGGATTCCTGTATCAACTGCTCGGCTTGGGACGCATATATCTCCACCATCTCGTGATCCATCAAGTCCAGGTAGAAACATCGCGAGGGACCGTGACTCTCCAAGCCCTTGAAGATACAGCAGGAATCTGTGCTAGTCCATGGAGACGTTGCAGCATGATGATGTGTAGTGATGTCCGGAGGGCTTGGATAGAGTTTATCAGGAAAGTGACTGATCTCATATAGCTTCACCAACTCCTCCGTATGTGTGATGACTGATCTATCTGATGTGTGGCCTGCATACCAGGTGTACAGTGCGTCTGCGTCCTGCAACGGTATTGGTTCGTCCTCGTGATCGCTCGTCACCTCAATCTCGGGAACCTCCATCAACTCACCAAGCGCGTCGGCAAGGATGCCAGAGTCATTGACATTCATCGTGTTCTCCTCGCCATGGCTACCTGTTTGAGCCGAGACTGCTTGTCCATCTTGAACTGGTTGAAATCCTCGATCATGATGAGGATCATCTCCAGGTGCTGGTCCATCTTGAGGTGGTTCAGTAGTTGGTCGCGCTTGTTTCCGCTGATGTCCAAGGTCGATGATACTGTCGTCCAAATCGGTCTCCTGTCGTGCTCTCGGGTCATGCCGAGTCCTGGTCGTGGTGTCGTCATTCTGTTCAGCGACTGGCACCAGTTGTCTTGATGTTGATGCGGTCCCGGAATCTGGTCGTCTCGGTGAGTGTGATCGTGATCGTGGAGCTGCTGATGCTGGGTGTCGTGCTCCTGCTTCTGCTGGAAGTTGTTGAGCGCTGCCTGCATGAATACTGCGTTCAAGAGCTTCAACTTCCTCATGTATCTCCATCAGCTTGCTCATCTCCCGTTCCAGATTCTCATCATCAATCAGCTGGCTAAGATCTTGCTCCGAGTCCGTCATTGAACCCTGCCGGTGAAATCGATGCTGCTCCTGCTGAAGGCTGAAACACTCCATCTCCGTCATCGTCGCGTCTCTGTGTCATCTGAGTCCGAGCTGCCGCTGCTGCTGCAGTGGTCTTCTGCTTTGCGATCGTCTGAATCACACCGCGTAGCTTTTCCAGGATCGGCGGAACCGCTTGTTCAGGTGCTGTCAGTTCCTGATGTTGCTCTGCGGGTGATGGAAATACTGGCTGCGCTGGTGTCTGAGTAAGTCGTGGTGCTTCTGCAGGTGTCACTGGCGATGCTGGTGTGATCGGAGAGGCAGGAGGCATCGTCTGATCATCCACCTCGATGGGCATTGTGTGCTGCAAGATGCTGGGTGGATCATACGGATCGTCGTCAAGAAACGGTATATCACTTAGATCAGGATGCTGGTAGGTGCCCGGGATGTCGTCACCATACCGATGCTTTGATACCAATAATAGAAAATGGTACTTGTCCCAGTCGGCGCCTACGAACTTCACCATGTTGATCGGTTGACTCGGATCGATGTCGCTGCTGTAGTAGTCTTCTCGGTGTTGATCTCGCCAGGCCACGATCACTCCATGTGTGAATTCACTCAGACCCTTTAGCTGTCGTTGTCCTTGACCGTAGATGATGCCGTCCACGCTCGTCATCCGAAAGATGGTCATACCCACACTCTGTGCCAGCAACCATGTCGGAGAAGGTGTCTGCAGTAGTTCTGGTGGTGTCGGTTGCTCGTTGAAGATGCCCATGCGATACACGATACCTGGTGGTGTGCCTTCAATAATCTCGAATAACTCCGTGAGCTTCATCGTGCTGCCGCTGCCGAGGTACACTTGATATTTGTCCCAGGAGGTGCCCAGGACGTAGAAGCTCATTCGTCGTGCTCGCATGTGCCTTGTCGGTATCTTGTATGGCTGATTCTGATGAATCACGATGGCCGCCGCCTTGTCCTTGTCAAGGCTGATGAACTCCGCTGGACCTCGCCAGCCATCTTGATCTTTCCTGGCTGGTGTACGCCAAATATCTATTTGATCATGTGGTTTGAGCGTCTCGATCCACTTGGCGTCCTGAGCTTGCTGACGTGTATTGTTGGCCTTGGCGATCCTTTCCTCGATGATGGCCTGCAGGATGTTAGACTTTGCCAAGAGCCTGAGGCGCAAGTGCTGCTCGGTCGGGTCCGGCGTGAGATCCATCGCACTCTGCGTAGCCGTCAGAGTTCCTGCTTCCGGATCGTAGGCGTCCTTCGGCATGTATCCGAACAACCCTTGAGCTGGAACCGAGCCGCCGTAATTCATAAAGAGATTTGCCACCATCGCTGATTCCTCCACTATGTCCTCGTCGCTGATGTCGGTCAGGCCTTGCTTGATCACGTCGCGCTTCGTCTTGAGAGCAGTCAGCTTCAAGGTCTGAATCGCTCGCTCTGCCAGGCCTGTGGTGGTGTGTCCGTCAGCTCCACCGAATATCAGCCGTAGATTGTATCTGTCTGCCACCAGCGCCACGTTGTCATTTGTCATACCGCCTTCTTGATCCATTACCAAGTTGTCCATCGGTCCGAAATACCGAATCCAGTGACCAAGCATTGCCCGTAGAACGTCCTTGCCCTGCTTGGTAGCTAAATGGCATGCGATGCGGTACCTGATGCATTCGTCGATCATCATCAACCAAGTCTTCTCGAATACGAAGAACAGATCTGCTTGGACGCGCTCATTGAAACGAACTGCGATGGTCATCTTGATACTCGGCTTGTTCATAGCTCGCTGTCGCTGCAAGCAGGTTTCGCAGTGCTCGGCCAGACCTTTGCATAGCTCTCGAATAGGTGCAGGTAGTCCAAGAGCTCGAATCATCCTCTCGATCTCAAAGTCTGGAGGGTGAAAGAACTTGTAGTGAAGGCCCATGAGCAGCTTGATGCGTTCTTCGTCCGAGGCAGCCTGGGTCAACTTCTGAGCTAACTTGCCCAGGTCGAAGGAAGGTTTGATGATCGTGACCTTTGATGCCGTTGTCGTCGGTCGTGATGCCACTGGTATTGGAGGCGGTGGAATGGGATCTGCTGCTGGTGGTTCTGCTGCTGCTGCTGCTGGTGCTGGCGCTGGTGCTTGCTCGTCTGCTGGAGCTGGTGCTGGAGGAGGTGCTGGCTCTACAACCTGTGCTGCTGCTGCCTGAGGTGCTGCTGCAGCGGGAGCTGCTCCTGGTCCAGGAACCGGCTTGAATCTGCAACCATCCTCTCGTGTGTGTGGTACCCCAGAACCTGCACCATGCTGACAACGTTTGCATTTCCAGTAAGCCTGTGTCCGGCAGGAGTGCATGTGCTTGACCATGTCCTTGACCAATGATCGGCACAGTCCAACTGGATAAACTGCTGCAAGAGCCGTTCGCTTGCGACCTTTGTCGTCGGTGCCTTGCAGCTCTGCGTGTGGTGTTGTGCGTTTGCAGGATCTGGATGTGCTTCGCAGCCGCGTCGTACTTCGGAAGAAGGTCCTCTTGCGAATCGGCAACTCCAGATCCACACTCCAAGCTCCATGCGCGCACTGGTCAGTAATGTTGTCATGCATCTCGCGCATCAGGATGTCTGGGATCAAACGAAGATCAGACTGCTTCCAGATAGCTGATCGAGATGGGTTCTCCATGATAAGCTGACTTCCTCTGCGCTCCAGTGCGGGCGCATATGTCTGAGCTGTCCATGTCAGTATCGGTCGTTCGTAGTCTAGCCTGCTTTCCAACTCAACAGGCTCCGCGTTGTTATTTGATTGAGACCAGGGTCGACAATAGAACTCCATTAGCGAAAATAATGGCACAAAAGCTTCGTGTAGTTCAAGTAGCAGCTGCTGATGATCTGGTCGATGTAGATCCCAGCCATAGCGATAGTCGATAGGTGGTAAAGTTATCAGGTGATTCCGATAGGCTGCACAAGAAACTCCAGAGGTACCTGAAAAGATTTCCACCATCAGACTCGTCTTGTGAGCTACTGAACGCATATGCTGAATGAAGTCTCGAACGTGTTCTGGTCGAATCATCGGTAACCGAGATGTCGTGTAAAACTTCTCGTCCATGAACTCGTACTCTCGAGACATTCGATGACACTCTGCATGCTCGAAGTTACTTGGCCATTCATTTTGAGAGTATCTGTTGCTGCCGAACTGTCTCCATACATCATAGAACTCTGTGGCGTCCTTGTTCTGATACGATCCATACGTCTGTCTCGATGGCGGTGTCGTTGAAGGTGCTGCCAGTTTACTTATCTCACTCTGATTCTGCGCTTCGGGGCATTGTGGTTGACTGGCCGTGAATAGGTGAACCTTGGGCTTCCGGCGATGATCAAATGCTGAGAACAGCTTAGATATCCTTACCTCGATCAGGCCGACCATCTCCTCTACCACTTGCTCTGACTGAGGCTTGAACACGTCGATCGGTAGAAGATAGTGCCCAGAATCTGTCAGCAATACTCGAGCCATCGTAGAGACTTTATCGTCAGGTACGAACGCCAGGATGCCATCACCATTGCGATACATGTTCTCGAACAGGATGCACTTTTGCTTGATCATGGTGCTGTTGGGCAGGAGGCCCGGGCACCTTGCGCCAGGACCGCCTATCATGTCCGCCTGGTAGGTGGCGCCCTTCGCCATGCCTTCGACCCAGATCGGTCCGAGAAACTCGCCACATGAGGGGTCTGCTTGACCGTTGATGCCCGTGAAGGTCGCCTGAGAAGACCGGATGTTGTAGGAGATGCCTTCAGGCTGATACAAGTCCATGTTCCACTCCAACAACGTCTCCGTGCCAAGTAGGCCTTCAGCTGCTCCTGGGTCGACGATCAATCCATGTCGAGGCTTGCCTTTCACCGTATGCAGTATCGCGTAGGGGTCATCGTTGCCGTTCTTACCTTCCAAGAATGAGCTGTGTCGCTGATCATCATATGTCGGCCTCTGCGGACAACCAAGCAATTGAAGTGATTGATCTGCTTTTGCAGGCAATGTCTGCTGACATCCAGATATCCTAGATGATTGAGTAGATTCGTTCATCGTGTCACTGTCATCTGAAGAGTTCCTCTGGTCATTCCTGTCAGTGCCACCCGTGATGCTCACCTGGTTCTTCATGACCACCAAAGCGTACTGCTTAGATAACTTCTGGGCCAGCGTCAAAGCT